TGTTTGTGCCACTGAGCTATATCCCCCGCCCCAAGACACTATTTATCACTTAATTCTCCCCAAATAGGGCAAGGTCATCAAGGTTTCTTAAACTTTTTAGAATGGGTATCAATTACATCAGAGGAGAATGGCTCATCGCTCAGCACTTTATTCTTGTAAAAAATTGACTATTTTGACTCAGTACCAAAGTTTAACATTTAAATGCTTGTGCATTTGTTTTTATTGGAAGGATTTCTAGGAATACAAAGGCAAATTGCTAAGGATTTCCCTCAGCAAATAGGATTCAGTCCAGAAGCTCTAACCTAATCTAGTATGATACTGTGGGAAACACAAGGAAGAAACCAAAGTGTATTCAGTGCTGAGTATAGTTGTGGCCTCAGATACCTCTGAAGCTTGCTTTGGGTTCTAAAAAGGTAAGAGTCTTTGTGGAAGTAAAAAACTGTCTTGATTTAGGGCTACTTTCAAAGGCTCCAAACTTAGGGAAGAAGAAAAAAGGTTTTACTCTTAAAATTAGCAGCAATGGTGTCTGCACTGTATGATGATTCATGGCGGGTGTTTCCTTTTTTTCTTCTTTGAACCAGAAATTGAACTCATGACCTCAGGCTTGCCAGGCAAACGCTTATGCCGCTAAGCTATATCCCGGCCCTTGGTGGGTGTTTCCTATAATAGGGGATGTGCTAACAGGAAGATGAAGTCTAGTATTTGGGGAAGGGAAAGATGTAGGAGTATCTGAAAACATGCTTGCATTCTAAATCTTAACCACTGTGCTGTTAATTAAATACACTTCTCTCTACCAACATGGGTTCTTGTTGTAAAAGTTGTTATCTGTCCTCACCGTGAGGCTCTGCTGTTGTTTCAATGAGGACACTTATTTGGTCAGTAATATCCTCTGTGGAAAACAGGGAAGCAAAGAATCTAACTGCTTTACTCCACTTGACTATTCAGGCAGCTAAAGCTAATGAAGATCAAGAAAACTGGGACAGCTGATGCAAGTAAATCATCCTGTCACATGTTGAATTGTACAAAGATAAGGTATTTCTAACCAGGCTACTGGAAAGAAACTACTCCTCAGTATAACTCAGCATTAAAAAGCGTTAACCAAGCGTTATTAGGAACTGGTTCTTATACAACCCAGTAGGTTACTCAATTTTGTAATCTTACTGAGAGAATATTTCCTGTTTAAAAACAGCAATAAATGTATTTATTAAAAGTAGCTATGCATGAAAACCCACAAACTATGTTTACACTAGGCTATTCCATCACTGTGCTCTTTAACTGTGATGTGTCAATTTGGCCTCGGTAAGAACTGCCTAGCACATTAGTAAAGCCCTGGGTGTGTCTGTAAATAACTGACATGGGGGCTGGGGATTTAGCTCAGCGGCACAGGCCCTGCCTGGCAAGAGCAAGGTCGTGAGTTCGATTCCTGGTACCGGGGAAAAACAACAACAACAAAAAATAACTGACATGTAGGCTGTCAACTGAGGAGGAAAGACTCACTCACCCTGAAAGAGGGTGACCCCAACCAATAGGTTTGTAGTGTGGAGGGAATGAAAAAGGCAAAGAAGGCATCTTCCTTTTTTTCCCCTTTGAAGGTGCTCAGGTCTTTGCAGTTGCCTTGGGACATCTGTCTCCAGGGCCTTCCGGCTTCCCATGCAGCCATCAGTGCAGACCCTTTGGCTTTCCCTTCTCGGACTTGCACCAGACTTTGCAGTGAGCTCCAGGCCTTTGACCTTTGACTGGATCCTCCAGGCCTCCAGAGGGCAGATGGCCATTTTGCAGTCTTTCATATCTGATGCCAGAGGCGGCTACTGGAATTCTTCCACTTCTGATCCTGTAAGCCTACCTTGCAAATTCTTAATATCATCATAACGTTTGCATGCTATGGTCTGGAAATGATTTGAGTGCGTCCCCACAAAGGTTATGCGTTGGGAGCCTGGTCTCCAGGGTTGCAGTGCTGAGGGGTGGTTGCACTTTGGAGAAGTAGCGGGTGAGGCAAATTAGGCTAGGTCGGTCCCCTTGGAAACGATTAACGCAGGTCTCAGGAGAGCAGGTTGTTATAAAAAGAGGGAGCCTGGTCCTTGGAGTGCTCCCTCTACTTCCACATCCCCTTTTGTTATCTCCCCCCCAACATGTTCCTGCCATAAAGCCATTCGCCATGTGACACAGCCAACAGGTCCTTTATTAGACTGAGTCAAAGCCAGCACCCTGCCTTTGAGCGTCCAGAACTATGAGCTAAATAAACAGCTTTTCTTTGCAAACAATCCACCTCATGTATTACATTACAGTAAAAGAAAACTAATACAACGCCCAAGTACACTTCACATGGAAATCTAGATTTGTATAACACAAATTCGAGAATGATGAAATGTTTTTGATTTTGTAAAAATACTCACCCAAAACTCAGTCTTTAAATATCAACCTCCTCCACCGGTTTTAGTATGGTTCAGTTTATCATCATATTTTCTGACTACAGGAGTTGAGTGTTCTTGGGGAATACTTGTAAACTTTTGTAAACTCAACTCTGTTCCCTGGAACACACATTAAAAAGAAAGGAGAGCTACGTCTCCAAGTACTTAACCTCAGCTTAACCAAGCACCTCTCTTATCAGTTGTAAATAGGATGTTCCTACTGTTTTAACCTTTGTGCAACGTTCTTTGATAATGAATGAGAAACAGAACTGCCTAGGGAGGGTGGGAATTCTAACAACCTGGTTCACCAAGAGTTACTCTCTGAAACTTACTGTTGGACTGTGTGTGTGTGTGTGTGTGTGTGTGTGGTACTGGGGATTGAACTCAGGGCCTTGTGCATTGCTAGGCAAGCACTCTACCACTGAGCTACACCCCCAGCCCTATCTGAAACTTATTTAGTTACTATCAAAACGCTGAAACTTCAGCTTTTCTAGTGAGAACTTATAAGTGATGTTAATTTGCTCTCCATTTTAATATCAGAAGGACTCTAATCTAGGCTGCAGAATTGCTATTCCTATCTCAAGTCTCAAGAGCGCCTGAAATTGAAATGAAGGAATTTTAAAGTTTCATTTTAGAAGATTTCCAGTCATTTAGAGGTTTAAACCATTAGAAATGAAGTTAGGCAGTATCTAGATTTAAAGATAAAGGTCTTGCACTGGAGAGGGCTAGAGTATTTGCTAGAATGCCCAAGGCCATGGGTTCAATCCCTAGATCCACCAAACAAAAAAGAAAAGGTCTTATTAAAAGACATTTTAAAGTAGGGCAGAGAGGTCAATTTAATGCTGAATGAAGAATGGACTGTTCAACGTCAGGCAAAGATGGCAGGGAGCTCGCAGGACAGGAGTGAGCAGCAGGGTGTATGGCACCCTGCAGTCAGTACACTGGCACTGATTCCATACTTTTTTTTTGTACCGGGAGTTGAACTCAGGACCTTGCGCTTGCCAGGCAGGCGCCTGTGCCACTGAGCTATGTCCCCAGCTTACGGCACTGAAAATGGTAGCTGCCATTCAGTTCCAGCTAGATGTACTTCCATGCAGGAATGTGGGTCCAGTGCTGTAAATCTCACTTTTTAATCTGATAATTACAATAAAAATTTTTATTCTTATTTTTCCTGAATGTTGGGGATAGAGCAAAAGGCCTTCTGAATATTAGATAAGAGCTATACCCTCATCCTAAGTTTTAATTTTTAAATATAAACTATTTTATCACAAAAATTTTAAGGCAAAAAACTCATGGTTAGGAAGAGGAGTTAAAAAAAAGTCTATAGAAAGGTTGCACTATGTGGACTAATCTATGTTCTGAACTAGTATTAATGTCTTTTTTTTGAGACAGCGTTTTGCTATATAATTCAGGCTGGCCTTGGACTCACTTTGTAGCCCAGGCTGGCCTCGAACTCACACCAGTCCTCCTGCCTCAGCCTCCTGAGTGCTGGGACTACAGGCATGTGCCACCACGCCTAGCTTTGAACTGGTATTAATTTCACACTACTTGGCATAAATATCTTAAAGTGAAATGCTTAGCATTTCCTAGGAGATCCAACAATATAAACATTTGCTACTTCTAGAAATAGACTAAGGACCTAGAAATGGTATTTGGAGTGGGAATAGGAAAAGTAGACAGAATTATACAAACGTAAGAGAGATTAATACCTCCATTACTTTGTGTTAGGATTTAACACAGTTAAGTATTATTAGTTTCTTCATTTTCTTCCTAAATTTGGTGTTTTTGGTACTGGGAATCAAACTCAGGACCTTGTGCTTGCCAGGCAGGTGCTTGTGCCACTGAACTGCATCCCCAGCCAAAAGCCTTAGCTCTTTTTTCCTTCTTTTTTTGGGGGCGGGGCGGCAGGAATCGGACTCAAGACCTTATGCTTGCCAGGCAGGCGCTGTGCCATTGAGCTACATCCCCAGCCTGTTCTTCCTAAATTTGAATGCCAGACTCGGCCAAGTTACACTGCACCATGGAAAGCTGATCATTGATTAAAATATGGGGGGCAGGGGATTTAGCTCAGCGGCACAACGCCTGCCTGGCAAGTGTGAAGTAGTGAGTTCGATTCCTGGTACCAGAAAAAAAAAAAAAAAAAAAACAGATTAAAGTATGGTTTCCGAATCTTATTACTATATGTTACAGTGGTAGAGGAACACCATCACAGCTAGAAAAAATTCTGAGAAAAGTGACAATGAAGATAGTAACTACAAAGCAGGCTGATGGCCAAAATGAAATATGATCACCAAACTGATAAAATCTTTTCTGTAGAAATGACGTGCTAATAGCAGTAGCTACTACTTATATAATCCTGTAGATGATGAGTGAAGTGAAATTTGACCGGCATAGTAAAGAATCACTTTAAAGACAGCTAGTTTGAGTGGTTCACTACAAAAAAAGAGCATTATTCCCTTTCTTTTTTTTTTCCGGTACCAGGAATGGAACTCACAACCTTGCACTTGCCAGGCAGGCGCTGTGCCGCTGAGCTATATCCCCAGCCCCTATTCCCTTTCTTTTCTCAGTCATGCCCCAAACAAAACAAATATCTGATGTCCCTGAACAATATATTTATTTAAAAATACAAAAGATCTATCACTTTGAGATAATCTTAAAATTCCACCTAACTGAGGTGCTCAGGTTTACCTAAATATATCCGTATTTTCTAAATCTTAGAAGACACAAGCCCATAGGGAGTGTGGCCATCACAGGCCAATCATTAACTCTAGCTGTGGTATGGCTGCTGTGAGGTAGGTGGGTCACTGACCTACACTTCGAGCTGTCAGCTTGTAACGCAGTTCCCATAAGGAAATCTTCATCTTTGCTTCAAAGTGCTTGAACAAACTCACCTCTGAACTAACAGAGATGTTAACAGACATGTGGTACAAAGGACATAGACAAAGCAGTTCTTGTGCAGTCTCTCAGGCTATTGGTCATCTAGACACAAGTGAGTCAGCATCCACGGTGTTGAGAAGGTAGAGTTCAGGCTGGGCTGTCAATCCCAGATGATACTGAGGACAAAAAAGATGGAAAAGCATTAGACTGATCTTCAAGTAGATAAATACTCCAAGTAGGTAAATACTGATCTTCAAGTAGGTAAAATGGGCACTTAATACACCTATAATGAGCACATTAACTTAGGGCATTTTCAGTACTGCTGTACTTTTATTTCAGAAAAGAAGTAGCTTAAAGATATTTGGTTTCTAATGTTTAAAAAAGAAACTGACAGCCAGGCATGGTGGCACATACCCATCATTACAGCACGTGGGAAGCTGAGGCAGGAGGAGCACCGAGACTTTGAGGTCAACCTGGGCTACCTACTGAGTTTAAGACCAGCTAAACTACATACAACCCTGTCTCAAACAAACAAACAAACAAGGGGCTGGGGATCTAGCTCAGAGGCACAGCGCCTGCCTGCCAAGCGCAAGGTCATGAGTTCGATTCCCAGTACCGGGGTAAAAAAAACACACACACACACAAAAAAAAACACCACCAAAAACAAACATAAAATAGAAACTGAGATAGTTAAGGGGTGAAGTCATGTCAAATACCCTCAGTAAAATTGGCCCTCAGACTATTCCTGGGCATGCTGCTTCAGGGTGGCACATCAGGTCAGGACAATATGGGCAAACATGCACTGGGTGCTTTTGTATTTTTGGACCATGTACTGGAAATCAGATTTTAAATGGTCTAAGTCCTGATCCTTATAATCCTGGTCCCATTATCCTTTGGCACCCGAGCAGAAAAAAAAACCTCATCAAAAGAACAAAAAGAGAAAGTGCTGAGAGAGGGAGCTGAGCTATGGGTCCCAAGTAATTGCCACCTTATTTCAAAATCACTTCACATGCTGTACAACCTATCCGCACACCCTGCTCCTAGAAAACTGAGTTCAGGTGCTTGGTGCTGGGGTCTGTGAAGTTGTATCTTTTTATTCTTTTCTTCTCCCTTGAGTACAATGTGGGACAATCACTGATTCTTATTTAGCCCTTCTGTTATTACTTAGGGTTCAAACACATTATTGCACCTAGAAACCAACAGCCTATAAGTTAATGCAGAAAATCAATCCAGAAAAAGAACTAGCTTTATTATAGTGTAGTAGAAAAGGCATGGAGTTGGGATCAAGCCCAAACTTTATTCCTTCCTAGGACCTTCAGCAAGTCATGTATCCTTTTAGAAGCCTACTCCGCTTAAGTGTAAAAGAGGAATATTTGAAAATACCAGGGACATTAATGCACTATCTCATGCTAGTTTCCAATCAGTACACATTGTAACATATAAAAATTGCCCTGTATAACCCTGCAGGAATGCTGTGATGACTGTGTGAAGATAACATAGATCAGAAGGGGCCAGGGTCAAACCACCCCAATCTGTGGGCAGAGAAGATACAGAGTGACCCTGGCTGTAAGGCAAGGAAACAGCCCTTCAATCCAACCTGCTTCTACATTTGGGGTCTTAAATTGCAGGGTTCAGGGACTAACAGCAATTTTCAGACACACTGATAATTCACTAAAGCCATTCGCAAGTAAGCAAAGATAAACATTTCCTCATGGGGCAAAGGAGGCTTGTGTTACTAGTTCCACGATGTCCATACAGCGTGTCCTTAACGTGCCTTAGGAGGCAGCACTCCCTCATGGGAAGTCTGTCGTGTAGTTCTGAGACAGTAAGAAATGGGACTAATTGGCACACAATAGGCTAAAACACTATCAGGAGTACAGGGACTCTGGAAACCGGTGAATCTGTTATTACTTCTTAGTTATTGCCAAGGTGGAACCACAGAGGGTCCTCCCCATTTTCTAAGCCTGCCAACAGTGTCCAAACTAAAAATCCAGTACAGGCCTAACAGTACCTATAGTTGGCAACTTCTGAGCTAAGACACATTCTAACACTAGTTGAACATAGAAGCAAATGCTTTGATGTGTTGGTCCTGCTGGTGTCGTGAAGCTTAGCGTCTTATGCAGCACTGACAGTGTGTTACGTACTACAGGCTGGCTTGGGAATGAACACCTGGGCACCGACAAAAAGCTACTCAGGCTCAAAAGCCAAATGCCCGTTTACCACCAACGTGAGGCGGGCAAGTGACTGGTGGCCTCTCGGGTGCCTCATCTACGTGGAGGCGGGGCCTCTCGCTAGGAGGACGAAGTGAGAGAATGCAGGTGCTCAGGCCACGACTCGCACAGAGCCATGACAGCCATTCTAACATTCATGGCTGACGGGTCAGGAGAGGCTGACGTACTGAGATTCACTGGTCCTACCCGTCAAGGGGCAGAGGGCACTCCAAAAGGCAGTAAAGTGCTTCAAGGAAGGATCTTCAATTGTTTTGCATTTTATTTTAGTTTTGAAATTAAACCAGAATAAAGAACCAAGACGTAGGGGCTGGGGATTTAGCTCAGCAGCAAAGCGCCTGCCTGGCAAGCGCAAGGTCGTGAGTTCGGTTCCCGGTACCAGAGAAAAACAAAAACAAAAACAACCCAAAGAATCAAGACATAAATGAAGCCAACATAGAGAACTATGGGATTATTTATATATTCAGCTCCCTTAAGACAGGTAGGAAAAGCTAGCTGTAAGAGAGAACAAAAGGAAGTGCTATAACAGTTTTGTGATGTCTCATCTGTCACTTGGATTTCCCTGTCATGTGTGTGGTGACAGGGTTAAGGTTTGTGCTTGAGCTTTGCCTTTGTTTTTAATAAAGTCTGCCAATATCCCCATTTGCTTTTTTTTTTTTTGGTTTTTCTCTGGTACCAGGAACCGAACTCACGACCTTGCGCTTGCTAGGCAGGCGCTTTGCCGCTGAGCTAAATCCCCAGCCCCCCATTTGCTTTTAATCTAAGAGATTTTGGTTTTTCTCTTTAAATACTCAGTATTTATTGGCAATAAACACAGAATGTAAGAGACTGGCTGAACAGTGAAATGATGTTACTGGGAGATGAATACCCAGCTTGTAGGAGGGAAAGACAGGATAAAACATCCAGTGTAAATGTAGTACTGATATGACCTTTAGCTATTGCAAACCTATAAATGTGGGTAACAGAAAGTAGTGTCTTTGTGTCTCTACCTACCATAAGCTTTCTAAAGACTAAACACATTTATTTCTGTCCCTTAAGGACAAAGCCACTAACTGTGTGGGCTTAGTGTGTGTGACTCCAGATAATAACTAAAAGTCTGGTATTTCAGTATCAAAGTTGTTGAGATCCTATTAACAGAGCATTTTCAAGCTTTAAAAAATAAACCATGAAACCAAGTTGGAAAAAGAAATTTTAATTACATAGTAAATGTACATATCAAAACAGTCACTAAAAGCTCAACTGTAACCATTCCTGACATCCCTAGAGCAGGACCTCACAGGAAGCTCTTCCCCGTTCCACCTTTAATTTCCAGTATACAGCAGCAGTACAATTACATGTCATATTTAGAGAGCGTTATATACACATACCAACTCCCCATGATGAATGTAATCATTATGTACTATACACATGTACTAATAAAAAATTACATATCACATTTAGGAGAACAAGGGCCAATTTACAAAAATACAATTGTAAATCCTTATTTACAATTTAAAATGCACTGCACATACTGGTATTGGAAGACTTCAATTTCTACACATTGTACTTTGTACCCAGAACACTGCCTCAAGTATGCATTCTCTCTGTAAGGACCGTACAGAATATGGAAGTATTATTTACATTGTAAAGTAGTATACTCATAATATTGAAAAATGCCATTTACGTGGGAAGAAACTTTCCACCATTATAAGTCAAACATACCACTTCTAAAAGAACAGTAGCAGGTTTTACCCGAACTGTTTGTGAATCTGAGACACTCTGGACCCACCCAGAGCCAGGGTAAACGTAAATGTTACCAAACCATCTTTACAAAGAATTTAGTGGGGAGTAAATTTGGCTCTTAACTACCACAGGTGGATAAAACCTTAAAATGTCAGTCCTTAATTCTATCAGAGCATGTTTATGACCATTTTGGTGAACAATGGTCAAAGCAAGAGAGGGGCAGGTAGGAGGAACAGTTAGAGGGATGGTCCCTTGTGATTCGGTACCATATTACTGAGGAGCTAAGAAAAATGTATGGTCAGTGGTAAACTACAATTTATCATTAATGCTTTATAAAACACAACCTATCCAGTCTGTACTTTTGCATGTGTGCAAAATATCAGGAGTAATGCCTCTGGGACTCAAATAAGGAAAGAGTATTAGTGAACCAGGACATGAGAAGCAAAGCTCCAAAAATGGGGTGTCCTTCGGTGCCATTCCCATGACTGTCCTCACCAAGACAATGGCTATACCATGGCTTGGTTATTTATCCGTACCAGATGAATGGGATTTGTGTTGACAGAGTCACATAGCCTCACATGCCATATATAAAAATGTCAGAAGTGGCTGAAGTAAGAGCAGCAGCTGCAGGCTCAAGACGCCCACTTTCTCTGACTCCAGAGCTCCACCATCTGGTCTCATAGTTTACCTCTCTGAAGGTCCAGCTGTGCAGAGGTGGCCTACTTTACCCTGTTGACAGAGACCTTTGCAATCTCATCGACACCTACTGTCTTGCTGAGAGTCTGTACGCTTTGTAATGTCAGGTTCACAGTGCCCAAGATTACCCGGCAAGTCACCTCAGGCATGAAGCGGAGTGGTGTGACACCAAACATGACTTTGGTGAGAGGTGGGTTTCAGGAATAAAACAGATGCCTCTTCATGCCTTTTTTCTTCACTCTCCAACCCCAAAGTCTTGGAGGACATCAGTTCATAAATACTATCATCTTCTTCTATCACTACCCTCCCTCTTGGAGATGAACTTTCTATAGTTCTACGTGCTCAGGGACACACATCGCCACAAAAGCCTCTACTTACAGGCTATGAACCTCAGGACTCCCAAGAAAATCCTAGTAAGCTTCAAAGGGAAGTCTTCACAAGGTGATTAGTTACCACTCCTTATAGGTGAGTTTTGCCATTTCTCACCTCTCTTAATTTCCACTGAGAAATTTAATTTGGAAATAAAAGAATCCTGAGCCTTTTTGAGGTAGATGTCTCTTTCTTCTATATTTCATATGGATGAAATCACTGATTACAGTGAGGTTTTTAAAAATAATTCAAATAAAGGAAAGGGCAAACATAAACTTATTTTTCAGCCTTTTAAAATCTGCTCTCTTGATAATTAAAACTTGCATACTTGTAATTACCATGTCTGTAATTTGTATTAGGAAAAACGTATTGCATTTACCAGTTTCAAAAAATCATACTGTCTGGTTAAGAATCATGCTCTTTGGCAGCTATTTAAGCATTTAGTGTTAGAATGACAGCAGCAAATATTAGCTTTTCAAAGATCCTTCTCAGATTAGGTCAGGGAAAAAAACAAAATTATCTCCATCATTCAAACAGACATGAAACAAAGTCCTTCCCAACCAGTAGTTGAGTCCCAAATGCAGTCTGTGCAGCGGCACATACTTGTAGCTATGTTCACACAGTAAACCATAGAAACGCACTGGCTCTGATGGCTACCTGCGGCTCACAGACAGACTGGGCCAGAGTTTACTTAGGACAGCCACCAGGGGCTTCTTCCGTCAGCAGGACTTTAGAGATGCTTACCGTGTGCCCGCAGTCCAGGAAGGACAAGCCCAGTGCAATCAGACACTGCCAACCCTGGGAGAGAAAACACGGTCGTCAGTTACGGGGCTCTACACAGAGCCTCTCGCCCACAGCGACTGCACAGCGCTGCTCAGACGCAAACCCGCCCCTCCCTTGCACATCCAGCTCTACCAGCCTCCCACCAAGGGTTGCGCAAGACATGCTCCTGACCTCGTGTCCCTCAGAACGTCCTGCTGCCTTCAATAAAGTGTTCCTATGCTGTTTTCAATACTTGGGTTTATGACTTCTTTTGTCCACCTGGGGGTTTCCTAATGACCATTTTCCTTACCCCCCACCCCCACTATGAGAAATGGGAAGAATGACTGTGTGACCAAAGTGACTGATGTAGTCTCTGAAGTTGTTCTGTGAAATCTCTCTTCTGGAGCTAAAAAGCACTCTAGAATAAGCCCTCACCTATCAAATTGGGACACTGAGTCTCATTCGCTGAGAATCACTAAGGACAATTTGGCACCTCTGTGAGCAATTTGCAAGGGAGAATCCCCAAATTTCTAAGCTGATTTTGTTTTTTTTTTTAAACATACATACATACATTCATTCATTTTGTTTGTTTGTTTGTTTTGTTTTGTTTTTTTTCTGGTACCAGGAATCGAACTCAAGACCTTGCACTTGTGCCAGGCAGATGCTGTGCTGCTGAGCTAAATCCCCAGCACCTCATTCATTCATTTTTTAATTGATTGATTGACTGTGCTAGGAGTTGAACCCAGGGCCTGTGCTATATAGTGGGCCCTAAGCTAACTTATAAAACAATTCCTATCAACAACATATGAAGTTACTTCATCCTCCCAGGCCCTAGAGTCAGTATAATTTTTGTATATCTGAGTTTTACTGGGAAGGAAATGGAAATTCCAATCCTAAACACATTTTCAGTATTACTAAAGGGATTTTCTCAATTCGATACCTAACCTGTGGCAGACACTGACATGAGAACTAGGTAAGTATCCTGGGGATCAACAACATGCCAGCCTCTGCCTTTAACCGTTCTCTCAGCAGATATGGCATAAATTGTGTAGTTCCTTGTACCCAACTTTGTGCTTTCCAGAGAACCCTACACAGAATTGGGAGGTGGAGTTGTTGCAGCATTTGTCACTACTATTAGCAATGTTAAAGGATATCTAGAAAACAAGAGTCTATAATCCCACTTTCTGAAAACAACTACTATATCATTTTTACATTAATTTACTGTAGGGCCAGGGATATAGCTCAGCAGTACAGTGCTTGCCTAGCAAGTACAAGGTCCAGAGTTCTATCCCCATCACCAACTTACACAGACTTATTTGGGTACAAATCTGGGCACAAATAATTTGCATTTCATTTCCACATAGATATGCTTTTATAGCCTGGATATATATATGCTTTTATATCCGATATAGATATGCTTTTATATCTGGTGAGGAGGTGTCACTATTTACTTATTTCCTGAGGCAGTGTGTGGTAAGGCAGAAGTGTGCTGTGAGCCTGCCTGTATTCTACTGCAAAGCTCTAAGTCACAGTCCACACTTCCCTCTTCTAACTCTGCACTACTCTCCACCTTGCTACCTTCCTTTGGTTCTTCGAACATACCACACCCTTACTAGGAACCAAGAATGGAAACCACAGACAAGTGACAGAAGTAGAAGACTGCCAATCGTAGGAAACAGTAACTTTCTTGGTTAGACATATAAATAGCTGATTTGACAACTCCACATAAACTGTCCCAATTACCAGAAAATAGACTGCTATGTTTGCTTTGGGGTCCATTCATTTCTGAATATCAGCTCTCCCCACCTCCCCCGCAACATCCCAGGTATCTGTACTGCTGCCTCCCCACAATGGACTTACCAAGTAGAACACAAAGCTCAGATAAGCCACACTGACCACGGCAGCTACCACATACAAGACCATATGTCCTAGTTCCTGGACATAAACTACTACAAAGTACATGTTGATGGTACAGATGATAAGGACCAAGAGCCCGCCTGCAATCCTCCAGCCTCTGTAAAAGAATTGGCACAGTCACTGGTAGAATAGTTCAGCTTGACCACAAAACAACAGAAACTGCACCTCATGGGTAGCGGCAAAAAGAACTGAAAAATGCTTCTAACTATGTTAGCTAAAGTGGAAATTGGGAAGGTCAGGCTGTGGTGGGAAGAAAGAAAAAAACATGCCTCAAATAATCTCTAAGACACTCGAAAAGCAACAATGCTAGATGTACAAGGAGTCATTTCATTAGCCTCAGTTGAAACGTAACAAGTAATTTCAAACACTGCGTCTCCCTTCAAGGTGTACGTGAAATGTGTGAGCTTATGTCTTTCTCATTATGATAATTTAACATAAAATTTCATTTTTTTTTTTAACATAAAATTTCAATGGCTGAAGCAGGAAAGTTAAAACTCTAAAACCTGAAATAAAAAAAATGTGCTTCCTCCTTCTTTATCACATTATAATCTCCATTCTTTCAGGCCAAAGAGAAGCAGCTAGCAATCACCTCAGAGAGTGTAGTTCCATGATTCACTTGTAACAGTTCTGCTGGATAAAAACACCCCTCTCCCCTCTTGTTGGCTCCCCTCTGAGAACTACAACGAGTATACTCACATTCCGTTGGAAAAGTCGTTCATCACTGGCCGCAAGCTCGTAAATGTGAGGATGGGTATGAGAGCAAAGGGAAGCTGGAAAGAAAGAAGTTCAGGCAGATGGGGCCACCAGAGGGCCCCTGCATCACATGAGAGATCAATGTGGCTGGCAGAACTAAGGTATAAACCCTGCCTTACCAGCTCTGTGAGACCTTATTCTTATTCCCCTGACTTGCTCAAATATTTTTTTTTTTTTTTTTTTTTTTTTTTTTTTTTTTTTTTTTTTTTTTTCTCCGGTACCGGGAACCGAACTCATGACCTTGCGCTTGCCAGGCAGGCGCTTTTGCCGCTGAGCTAAATCCCCAGCCCCGACAAGCTCAAATATTATGAAGAAATCTGTGGAGCTGTCATTAGTATGAAGGATGATTATAAGTTCTTTTTGTCTTTATAAATATTGGATGTAACTTGTCATCTTAAATCTCCCTAGGACCTAGCAGAGTGTTCTATAGTGCATTTAATGCTTGCTGGATATATGAACTATAATTTTGGGCTCCACATGTAAGGATAGCTCACACCATTCAGCAGCTTAAAAACCCAAACGACCTCTCAAAGCCGTTCAGATGCCAGGGGTTTCATGTGCAGTCACCGCAGACCAAGACCATCTATGCTTCTTTCTCCCTCTCAATTTCCCCCCAGCACCTAGTACCCAGCACCAACCAGGCTGGGTCCCAAAGGGCAGAACTGAGCTGCCTGCCTGAGTGGGATATGAATCTCCCTTGCTCCCTGCTCACCTGCAAGCTCTGCAGAACATTTAAGAAGTCATTCATCCCTGTCAGATGCTCTACATCTTGGAAGACAGCAACGAGCAGAGTGGGGATGATGGCAATAGAACGAGTCAGAATCACTCAGGCAAATCGGGACCACCTGAGGTTCAGGAATCCCTGGAAGGAAACGCAGAATCAGGGTAAATCTCTGTCACAGGTTAGACGGGCTGCAGAGGTGCAAGCAGAGACCTGAGGAGCATGAGACTGAGAAATAACAAGGAACCGTGCTCTCTCCCTCTATCTGACGCCGCACCTACCTCCATGACAAACTGGCCGGAATAGGTTCCTGTCATAGTGGAGCTCTGTCCTGCAGCCAAGATCCCCACGGCCCAGATGTAGAGTGCAGCAGGCCCAAAGTAACAGCCCAGCACGACACCCTGGGGCAGGGAAGGGAGAAAGGCGTGCTGTGTCGGTGATCTGCTTAGGCGACGCTGAGAACAGCATTTCTTTGAGGCACATTTACTTCTTTGATAAATACCACCTATACCAAGTGTGTGCTGAGCACCGTCCCACACACCAGGCAGGGGTTTTGATCTGATTCTAGCAGCTTTCAATCTCAGTGCTGCTGGATGTGCTCTCATCCTGCAGCCTAGTCTATTTTCTTCTCCAAGCTCTAAAAGATTTATCTCTAGCTCCCATCTTAATACTGAAAAAACAAATGTCTATATCACTGTCCCCAGTGTTTATTGCTTAAAACACTGTTATAGGAAATAACAGTCGGGCAGCAAAACGTCGGATGGCTAAATCTGGGAAAGGCTGTGTATAGTATGTGTACATATTCTACTCTTGAGTCACAATGTAACCTGTATAAGGAGACTGAGGGACCTTTGTAAGGAATACTAAATATTTTCTTCAGTCACAATTAATACCCTTTAGAAACATATACTGTTACCAGTAGTTTCCAAATTCCCGGTTTATAATCCACCTTTCCATTGATCCTCTATTCCCTCTGATGCAATAGAAAATGACTGGCTAGCTTCTGGAGCTTTGAAGTAATTCATACTTCAAAGGAGGTAGTCAGAGTGGAAGTGAATTCACAAAGAGGACCAGATAACATGTTGAAAGGACTGATTCAGGAGCAGTGATCACAAACTGGAACATGCTTACCCCTTTGTAGATGTCCACAGCCAGGGTTGAGTTGTCTTCAGGAAAGAGGCCGGCATAGGGACTGCTGTTATTTTTACAGACATCCACCTAGAACCCAGAGCAGTTTCAGAGCAGCTTTTGCTTCAGAGGAAAGGAGCAGATGAGAAGAGCTCCCTATAGCTCACAAACAAGTCCTTTGTAAGGGGTAGGCTGGAGAGAACCCTGGGTGCAGGCTATGAGGGGCACAGACTGGCAGCAACGCATTACACACAGGCAGCCTCTGAAGTCTTTCTGGACCTGAGGCCATCACACAGTAACACACAACATGTGAGACATTTTGCAAGAGGATGGGAGTAGAAGCCCTTAATGTGGCTAAAACTTGAGTGCTCAGCATGGGAAGCCCTCAGTCAAAGTAAAGTCAGAATCAGAAGTCCTGCTGATGAGAAGCAAAGCCTGATCATTACTATGCAGTCAATCAGAAAATTGAGGAGAGTTTCACGTGACAAAACAAAGTCTGTCCTCATCATAATTTCTGTATTCTGTTTCCTGATTCCTCCCAACCTGTCATTATCCTGAACGGCAAGACTGGCAAGCGGGCAGATGGAAGTTGATACACAAGAAACAAAAGGAGATGCCACAGAGTGAAACAGATGTGGAGCCACCTACACAATAGCATGAGGCAATCTCGGGTCTGGGCCAGCTCCCTTTCCAGCCAGAAGCTGGGTCAGATGAGAGGCAGCCTTGTCAGTTCCCGACTGTGAACTCCCACAGGCACACAGTGACACGAGGCAGTGCTAACCCTAGAGATCCAATTCTCTCGGGTTCCGGGTCATTTTGTGTTCCCGTCCCACGGCAGCCTTCATTTTACCCCAACGTCCGCAACCACCCAGGGCCTGGGCTTACCACCTGCTGGTTGGTTTTCTCAAAAAATGCTTCAGCAAAGACTGAGACGACAAAGACGTTGATGATGAAGGAAACGAAGAGAGCAATGCAGGATTCAACAAAAAAGTACTTGTTGGCTTCTCGAACTTCCTGCTTATTGGCCCGGTTTACCTGTCTGGACTAGAGATAAAAGAAACAGTCATCTTTTGACCAGTTGGAACATGTTTCCTTGGACAATTCAGGACTTTGGAGTCATCTAAGAGATTAACAGGGCAAACAACTGACTAGACAAATGTAAGGGATCTGACCCTCACCCAAATCCTGGTTCATTAAGCAATTAAGTCCATACCCTTTGGCAACACTACACATTCCCCAAAGTGGGGCCAGTGACTGAGTGACTACTGAACTCTCAGCACTGTGGCTGGAGCATGCACTGACCTACAAACGCAAGCTGAGTTCAATCCTAACGGTACATAACCCTACTTATAAAGGTCTCTGAAATGACACAGTATGAGAGCCCCTGGTAAAGCTTGCTTGGGCTCCTTTACTCTTGACCTGTACAAGGGCCACTCAGGTCTTTCACCCCCCTCAAAAAAAAAAAAAGATTTAAGCACAAGAGACACTTAGTGTGCTTTCAGATGTTTTGTGAAGAATGCTAACCCCAGCTTACCTGTGGGTCAGTAATCCCTGATCAATTTAATGATTAAAATATAGAGCAAGCATGTAGAACTTATAAATATCCAGTCTTCGACAATAATCTTGCTCCTTCAGGACACTAGGTGTTGGAAAGCTATGACTATCCCCGGCAACTAAAGGGAAAGAAGATCCCATGAACTATGCAGGTTGTTACAGAGTTAAGGGCCTTACTCACCTTGACTAAGGCAGAATGTAGGTACATGTTGTGTGGCATGATGACCGCTCCCACGATGCCCACAGCCTGCTCAATCTGTGGGGTGCGACAGCCAGGGCAAGATGGCACGAACATGCCCCTGAGGACCTGGCTCTGGCTGGGTTTTACTGTAACATACTACAAACCAACACATCAACTATTACCCTTTACGGAACACGAGATGGGAGAAGGACACATCACAAATGAGCCATGTGACTTTCATTCCCTACCAGCTCCTCCTCTATGAAAACCACCTGCAGGGAACGGCCAGCTGCAGTAGCACACACCTGTAGTCCCAGACACTGGGAGGTTCAGGCAGGAGGAACACTTTAGCTCAGGAGTTTGAGGTTAGCTTTGGCAACACAGTGAGAGCCTACCTCCTTAAAATAATAACAGTTCTGGGATATAGGTCAGTGGTATCATTTTCCTGGTGTGTGCAAGGCCCAGGGTTTCAAGCCCTAGCAAAAATAAATACCACTAAGTAACCCAAAGGGCTTGTCACCAGTAGTCAGAAAATTCAGGACTAGACTTTCTAGATATTTTTTTTTCCCCTTTTTCTCTCCTCCCTTCCCCTCCCCTCCCATCTCCTCTCTTTTCCTTTCCTTTTCTCTTTCCCCCAGTACTAGGGACTGCAGGGCCTTCATACTGTGCTACATTCCCAATGTAGCTTTTTATTTTTTGTTTTTTATTTTTAGACTGGGTCTTTTTAAGTCACTGAATTGCATAGGCTAGGACTGAACACATAAAATGTAATTATTGTTCTAAAAAATGAAATGGCTGCTAAAGAGCTTATTGTAATTAACTTCACATTAACTCCTAGTATACTGAAGCAATTCTTCATTATATTTCTCTATTAACCTATGTTCATCCAAAAAAAATCACCTATGTTTCCCGCTTGTAGCAAAGACCATTCATAAGTACTTTTTATCCACACTTTTCCCTGGTTCGGCATTTCTCTTGAAAGCCTTAGTCCAGCCTGTATGATCTAGTCATAGATCAGATAAAGTCTTTTTTTTTTTTTTTTTTTGTACCAGAATTCAAACTCAGGACCATGCACTTGCCAGGCAGGTACTGTGCCACTGAGCCATATCCCCAGCTACATGCAGCCTTTAAAGTTTAACCAGGCCAATAAGAAGACATCAGTTTATTACTCGACACAGGAAGGTGTTCTTGCTCCAAAGAGTGGTGTTGATTCTTAGGAGTGTTTAGGTTTAGGACAGGGAACAAATTGGGGGATATTCATTCATCATTATAATTTATCAGTTGTTTTAATACAGAAAAATTCAAGCTATAATTAATATAAACCAGGATGAGCAAAGCAGAAACATTTTAAATTAGCAGCCAAGGATAACTGAAAAAAAACCAGAATCACCCTAAGATTACAGTCAAAAATAACCCTGTGATCTACACAGCCCTGTCTAAGCTGTTCTGCTGTTACAACAGCCAGTCTGGGACTGTGGTATATGGACTGGAAAGCTCCAGAGTGTCCAGTCATCTTTGACCTAGCAATCTCTGCAGGACTTCAAATACACTAATTGTTGCTATAGATTATATCACTTCAAAATCAGTCCAGAGCTGAATTGGCTTTTGGGGGGTTACTGGGAATTGAACTCAGGACCTCACGTTTGCCAGCTAGGTGCTGCACCATTGAGCTAAATCCTCGGCCCCTGGATTGGCTTTCTGTCGATATATATAATTAAATTAAACCATTCTAGCACTACTGCTGTCTCCCCGCCTCCCATCAGGTATTGAGGATTGAACCCAGGACATCTCTACTTAGCTACAACCCTAGTCCTTTTTTATTTTTTATTCTAACATAGTCTTGTTAACTCACCCAGGCTGGATTCAAATTTATGAGCCTCCTGCCTCAGCCTCCAGAGTGACTACTGCTGTCTTTTACAATGAAAGGCTAAAAACGAAACCAAACAAATAATCCCGTTTTTAAAAGTCACTGAACAGCTAGTAACACTTGCCTCATATCCAAATGTGAGGGCCATAATGGTGATGAGAAAGCCAAAAAATGCTTCTAGCTTCCGTAAGCCTAAAGAAGAAATGCAGCAGTGAGCTTGCACAAGGCAGACTTCTCCAGCAGCCGCATGGAGGAAAGCAAAGTGGCTCCACTGATTGTCCTCCCTCCACTCTCACCCTTCTTACCATATTTGTCCAAAAAGAGAAATACAAATGTATCTGCGATGGTGATGAGAACTCCACCCCATAGAGGAACCCTAGGTGAGAGATGGAAATACAGATTAAAGGAAGGAAACACTGAAAAACAACACCCTCTTCCCAACTGCTCTCCTGATACAGAACCCTCAGAGGACTTGAAGCAGGAGAGAAACCTTGGGAAGTGAGCCCTTGGGTAACTGAGGATCATAATAACAACTTAAATACACTCATTCAAACTTCGATTGACAGTGTGGTATGTCAGACATTTAGCATACAAAGCTGAAGAGTGAGGGTCTCATCCTCAAGGCACTCACTATCTAGACTGCCACACACTTCCTCATAGTCATATGTACAACTAACTATGGATACAGAAGATGTAGAGACGCATGGGCCAGCGGCAAAGGAGGTAGTTCCTGAAAGGCTCCTAAGCAGAAACAATACTTCAGTGGAACCTTAAAAATTGGAAATGTGTTGGGTCTTTGTTTTCATCTTTCTTTGAAGTCCAGCAAAACACTGACAGCCCCTCACCTTCTTACAGACAGGAGGTGGATGGCGATGGCTGAGCCAATGACTTCCTGCATATCTGAGCCAATGATAGCCAGCTCCACCATCAGCCACAAGATGATGCGTGGGACCTGCACAGAAAAGAGTAAGAAGATGTGGTTCTGATTGTTCATTTCTAGGAATTCCCTGTGTCATATGGAATTCATATTTTGGTACAGACCCACAGACTGTCCTTCCTAGTCCTTGAGACCTGGCCCAGAACCTGGCCCCACTGAGCACTGCAGCCCCCAAGCAGAGAAGGAACATGTCCTTCTACACAGTGGACCCAAAGTAAGCGTGGCAACTGAACTTAGTTTTTTTCCTTTCTTCCCACTCAGGAGAGGAGTGGAATTTCCACTTACTAACTTCCCTTAATTTCTTTTCTAAAAATGCTACACATTTTTGGGAAAATAGTTACACCAACAGTGTCAAGACAGAACAGGAAATGACTGCAAAAGAAAACACCTATCCTGATCAGCTGAGGTGATAAAACAAACAGGGGATGGCTGGAGTTATCTTGGGGGGGGGTCATCTTTAATATAATAATAATATGTATGCAAGTGAAAAAAGACAGATATGCAAAAGAACTCAAGGTACACAGTAGTTGCAATTGGGTGGAATATACCAATGTAGGTAACTAATCTAGACAACAGCCTAGCTGAAAGACAAATTCAACTATAGCACACTGAAGCCAGAAAAATCACCTCCAAAACCATCTTTAACATGCAGGAAGAAAGAGAAAGTAGAAGAAATTATAAATTAGCAAGGGTTTTTAAAAACTAGATAAGAATAATGCTCATAGCTAGGAAAGGAAATTAAATATTTAGGTATGTAATATCTATACGGGTAGGTCAGAATCTTATCTAAAAATAACGGTCAGTTAAAAAATCCTTTCAGAGGCCAAGCATGACAGTAAACACCTGTAAACCCAGCACTGAGGAAGGCGAAGGCAAGAAGATCAGAAGTTCAAGTCCTGCCTAGGCAATTTAGTGAGACTGTATCTCAAAAATAACAGAAAGAGGGGTAGCTGGGGACACAGCTCAGTGTTAAGAGTGCCCCTGGGTTTGATCATCAGTACTAAGAAAAAGAAAGAAAGAAAGAAAGAAAAAAAAAAAAAAAAAGAGAAGAGAGAAGAGAGAAGAGAAGAGAGAAGAAAGAAGAGAAAGAAAAGCCTTCCAGGGTATAACTCAGTGATAGAGCACTTAACTGGCCATGGTCTGATCCCTAGCACTACAAAAAAAAGTCTTTGAGACATAAAAAAATTATGTCCTTGCACTCCTACCTTAGGTGGCAACAGAAAGGCCCACAAATCTTAGAAGGAAGCTGTAGGGAAAGTATAACCTCAAGGTCACAGAAAACTGAAAAATAATTAGCAACTCCAAAGATCCTGCCACAAACAGTAAAAAGATAAAACTTACCTTTTGAAAGAGAGGGCAAAGTCAAACAAAAAGCAGATATCTCTAACACAAACTGATGGAGTACTGTGAATATTTGTATAAAAGTCCTTGAAGAGAAACAGCCCCTCCCTCGTGGATGGCCGGGCACTGGCAGAGGCCAGAAGGTAGAGTGAATGGAAAATACTTATCACAAAGGATTCTTCTATGGAAACCTCATGGGAAAAAATGAATCTCAAGTCCGATTTGCGGGGAGGAAAACACTGCATGGCAGTAAGAGGGGCAGTGAGATTTCCTTTCCTATGGCCAGGTTTCGGGACCACTGACCCCAAGTCCCCCAGTGTCTCAATACATAGTAGGGCAGCGCACATGGGCAGACGCACAGATTCCCCTGGGGGTGGGTGAGACACAAAGAGGACAGCACACGGCTCACCTTGGGATACTGACGGTGACACACTTCGGCGAGGTGCAGCCCGGTGACCACTCCCAGTCTAGCTGCAAGGCGCTGGAGCAGCAGCCCCACGATGGTGGCCAACAGAAGGACCCAGAGCAACTGAGAAGAACAAAACCCCCCGTGATGCTCATTAGACAAGTGGACTTTTCGTTTGGTCGTCTGGTATTGTAAATGGGAAACACAGCATGAAGGAAAAGTCTGATCAGGAATGAAAAATGATCTGATTTTGGTACAGGATCTATACATGACCAACCAGGTGCCTTGCACCTTTCTGAGCCTCACTTTCTCCCATTTGCAATTTCTCTTTTGTTCAAGGAAATTACAGACATTAAAATAAAAGACCAGATGGGAACTACTTTTCATATAAGTCTCACTGCCGAAGAAGTACAGTTAAAACCGGGTAGTGGCACAAGACTATAACCCCAACTAGTCAGAAGACTGTAGCTGTAAGGCTGAAGTTCAAGGCCTACACAACTTTGTGATACCCAGGCTCAAAATTAAAAATAAATGAACGAGTAAATTTAATTAATGAAATAAGTAAAAGGCCTAGGGATGTAGCTCAGTGTTCCCTGGGTCTGATACCCAGTATGAGCGACAGGGTATTTGAGATGTAGCTCAGTGGTACAAAACCTACCTAGCAAGTATAAGACCCTGGGTGCAATCTCTAGTACTGCAAAAAATAACAACAAAACAATAACACACACACACACACACACACACCCCCCCCGGCAAATCCCACCATGGACCCTGGAACACAATGGGTGAGGGTCAGGGTTACCAACCTCGTGTATACTAAAAAATGTGCATATACCTTGATTCCCCCAAAACTTAACTACTAATAACCTGTCATTGATCAGAAGCCTTACCAGTAACACTCTGTATAGTATTATATGCCGTGAACATACATAAGAACCCTGAGAAATGACTTTTTATCACAATACACAATTTACCTAAGAGATAAACTACTCACACAGAGATGCTCAGCATCCCACAGATTTTTAAGTGGACACAACAGTTCAGCTCAACAGCAACAGAAGGTGGCTACAAAATTACAGAGGTATAATATATACTGTGTTTTTTACTTTCTGAAGGTGTGTGTGTGTATTAGAGTCTGGGGACAGAATCCAGGTGTGCTCTACAACTGAGCTACATCTCCAGTCACATCTTTAATTTTGAAACAGGGTCTCACTCAACTGTCTAGCTTGGCCTCAAATTTGTGATCCTCCAACTTCCCTAATTTCTCCCTAATACAGGGATTACAGGTGCACACCACCGCTCTTGCCTGTATTACAGTTAATTTTATCCAGTTATGATTTAAGCCACATCTTTACATTTGCTTACATTTACCTCAACCACATACGGACTGTTTGTGTAAGTTCTGATAAATTTTAACTTTTTAGAATAGATTTGTGTACATTTTAGTCTAGCAAATGATAAAATAGATTATTATCTATATGTATTGCTATGGTTATGGGTATTTCCCCTCCATCGGTCCTAGGTGGGGATTTTCAGAGGTGGTTGGATCTAAGTGTGTGATGCTGGGATTGATTCATGGTGCAATGCTAGGATTAAGGGCATGTAACCTGTATAGAGTATTAAGAGATAGAAGGCTGCTGTTGTTACTTGTTGCTTTGCTACTTTGCTGCTCACTGCCTTCTACCTACCATGAACTGCTCCTCCGCTGCAGTGCCCCTCTGCCATACCACCGTGCCTTGGAGCCAGTTGACTAAGAATTGAAACTGCTACAAACCATGAGCTACAATAAACCTTTCCTCTTCTAATGGAAAGTTGGATATGCTGTCAGCAACAAGAAAAGTAACTAAGACATATATTTTATATAGTCATGGCATACCTAACTTTTTCTTCATTTTAAAAAATATTTCTACGAATGCCTGTAACCCCAGTACTCGGGAGGCAGAGGCAGGAGGATCATTGTGAGTTTGAGACCAGCCTAGGCTAGAAAGTAAGCTCAAAGCCAGCCTGAAGTGCATAGCAAGACCCTGTCTCAAAGAGCCAAAAAAAAAAAGATTCTGTTATGTAGTTCATTTGTTGGGTTTTCAAACCGTTGAAAATACCCAATGAAAGAACCCACACATAAGTAGGCCTGTGCAGTCCAACTTACATTGCTCAAGGGCCAACTGTAAGTGCTTGTACCCACTGCAGCTGCTATCCACTAGCAGGGCAGAGAAAAGAACACGAGGGTAAACTGCATGTGTTTAAAAGGGCAGGGGTAGACTAGACTTTCACCTTAAATCCAGCCACTGCTCCCGACTGCAGATCAGATTCAATGTTTCCTGGATCCAGATAGGCGATGCTCATGAGAAAGCCTGGTCCCGTGAATGCCCAGAGTTTACGAAAGCTGAAACAAGAATACTACAGAAGAGAGCAAAAAGAGATCAAACTGAGTATCACTTTCTTTTTCTTTTATCAATATGAAATAGCATCATCAGCTTCATGAGAACAAAAGATCAGGGTTGAATTTTACATGCATCTGGGTTTCTCTTACATAGCTATTTTTCATTAACAAGTTGGTCACTCTGTCCATTTAGGGAGCCCTTCCTGGCCCCAACATTTCAATCACATCTCACCTATAACTAGAGGGACCCACCCCCAAACAGAACAGGAACCACAGCTTCAAAAAGAGCACATGAAATCCTTAACTGCCTGATCAGAAAATGCTCTCCAATGTCACTTAGAAACTATATTCAATGTTCTCATCTTTCTGAACAGTTTATTCATTCTTATTATAAAATCCTATCTGCTGAGGTTGACTGCCAAAATTAGACCTGGAGCTATGGCCCTTGCATTGTCTAACAGATCTTCATTTCACAGGCTTTCACCAGACCATAGTTCCCCTCTGTGACCTGGCACGAACCTCCTCCTCAGGAATGGCAATCTTCTCGTCAAAGTAGGTCGTAAAAGGCTCCTCTGCATGCCCAGTGGACTGTGGAAGGGAGGAGTTACTACAGGCAGAGCTGATGGCATCAAGACTGGCACAGTCCCCATGATCTCCAGAAGCATTTTCTGAATTAACATGTTTAAAGAAAAATTAATAAAAATATTTTAAACCACAAAAGTTCACCCTCAGTAATACTGAAATTAAAACTTTTTTTTGAAGTCCTAGGATCAAACCCAGAGCCTTTCTCATGAGCATTGCCTATCTGGATAGAGGTTTTTATAAAACCCCCAGTTACTCAGTATTGTATCAGCTTAACACCAATCTTACAATCGTTTTGCTACTCTGTACTTCTGTTTCTACTTCGTCATTTTCAGAATAATTTCATTTTCCGCTAAAAACACTGACATTTGCGGCTCAAAATATAACACTGCCAGTCCAGCCCCACTGATAACCTAAAATCCTGTCTTTTCAAAGGAAAGAAGCCAATCATGGTGGTGCACACTTCTAATCCCAGAACTAGGAAGCTGAGGCAGGAGGATCACTGCAAGCTCAAGGTCAGCCTGGGCTACATAGTGAGTTCAAGGCCAGCCTGAACTACATAGGGAGGCCGTGACTCAATGAATAGACAGAAAGAAGTCAATCTACTAGAACAACCCCAGCCCTATTGTAGTATAGGACTTACTTAAAGAACTGTCCTTATACATTATACCTCCACCAGGCTTCTCAAGGTATACAGAAGTTGCAAAATACTGCCACAGTTCAGGACAAATCTGATACTGCAAGGAAACCACTAAGTAGGAACACTTTGTATCCTAAGTCCTATACTGAAGGGCAGCTGATCACAGGGCATCAGCATCGCAGCCTGGTATCAGTGTTTCCCACGAGACCTGCTTTTTACAGTTACTATTAAATGGAGGATGGCGAAACTCTGGAAGAAAAGCCTAATGCACTAGAGATATACAAAGTCCACTTTCCTACAGGCATCATGTGGCTATATTGAACCACAAAGCTCTATTCTGTTTCCAGTAAATCCTTACACATCCAACTAGATAAACAAGAGTTTTATTTTTATAGGAAGCTGGCCCACATCATCTTAATTAAGTGGATCTAACTTGGTGAGGAAATTTAACATAAAAAGACTGCAGCTGGGTATGGTAACACATGCTTGTAATCCTAGCACTTGGGAGGCTAAGGCAGGAGGATCACTGCAAGTTCAAGACCAGCCTGGGCTACATAGTGAGTTCAAGGCCAGCCTCCTAAAGTACATGGTAAGGTCCTGTCTAAAAAATTTACAAAAACAGAAACAAAAGCCAGCAAATTCCATAGGAGAAGTTCAGATTTAAGAAAGATTAGTCAAAGCATGGAAGAAGCTTCAATAGGGACTGAGGATATAGCTCAGTGTCACAGCGCCTGCCTGGCAAGGGCGAATCTTGAGTTCAATTTCTGGGACAAAAAAAAAAAAAAAAGTAGCTGCAATAAAATATGGAGTGTGTAGGACTTGCCTTCATTTTACTGTCCCATAAATATCTGAAACATTAGCAAGAGGTACACTCCGGAGGTTACTATGCCAAGTCTGAGACAACTACCGACCTTGCTACCATTACTGCTACAGAAACCAACCCTGAAGCTAAAATCTAAATTGGAAAGAAGATACTGTATGAGGTAGGGCTCTGCAGTTATAAACCCATTTTCATTTACAGCTTAAGTTACCACATGTGACTTCTGAATGTAGTGTTGGAGCAGATAAGAAGGGAAATATAAATTTCTGCCTAATTCCAATAAAAATCAGACAGTAATAGAAAGGTGTAAGTTACCATCTGACATCTTCTGTTCAGGACCCAACACCATGGTGGACACCTGAGGGTCCACGTTCTTAGAATAGGATTCTGCAAAAGAGAAAAGGGAGGAAGAAGAATTAGGGAAAATGAACCAGCATTTTGTTACTCTGGATCAGTGAACCTTTTCATATAGTAAAGAATGATTCTTCCAATGAATTAGACAACCTTTAAACAACAACTTTCAGAATAAATACTTAACAAAAATCAAAAAGTCTTAATTGAGTTTTTGCTGGCATGACTTCAAAACCAAATTGAGGCCAAAGGTATTTCAGTGATATAGCCAAATCCTTTCTAATAAGCACCCATAGCACCCCTTTAATATGCTAGGCAATTACCTAGTCTCTGTCTTTGTCTGCGGATTACCCAAAATGTTAAAAGCCAGGCTAGTCTGACCCAATTTTACAAGTTTTTAAAGGATAGAGGTCTGCAACTGCCTTTGTTCTACCCAACAATGTAAGTTCATGGTTCACTCTTCCGAGAAGGGCAGAAGAAAGCACACACCACTATAATGGCAGTGCAGGGTCTTTATCTCACAGCTTCAAACTCCCCTGAGGAGAGAGACTTCAGCTGTATGTCAGTCTTGTTCCCCAGCCTTCTGACAACCTGGGCTCTCGAGGAAAGCTGAGGCACAAGGGGTTCGGGCCTGGGCTGGGGGCCAGCACTTCTCTAGGTCCTGCCATAGGCAAGCGGTGTGGTAGGCTGGGAGCAGAGCAGCCCACACACCCCGTACCATGTTGGTGACATTCACTTGGGGAGAGTAGGGGACATTAGCAGGCCCACTGGTCCCAGATTACAAAACATTCTCTCATTAGCCTTGCCAATAAGGCTGGGTTTTAAAATTTCCATCTACTTATTATCAGATCTACTTCTCAGATGAATCCACATTTAGAAGGGAAAGGACAGTCCTCTGTATTGATCATGCCCCTCTTCAATATCCCCTGTGACCATCCTACCAAGAGTGAAGCCTTCACCTTAGCTGTCTTTCACTGCTGACATGCGCTTTGTTTCCACGCTTGCTGTTCCTGTCTGAACAGCCTCTGCTTTCTTTTTTGGCTAATCTGCATACCTATCTCATAGAATTCTGATATCCAGAACTGAAAGGAGCTTTTAGCATTCGTCTGCCTTCTGGGTATAAAATGTATCACCACCTACCCAGCTAGTTTGGAAAACATTATCTTTCCCTTCCCTACTCACCAATGCCATTATATCACAAGGGGCAACTGGTCCTATCTCTCCTGTCAGGCTTTAAGCCATCAGGTTGCTAAACACAACCCCAGAGGACCCAGAAAGACTAAAGCCAGTCCTTCAGCCACTCACAAAGCCTTCACCTAAATGGGATTTATACATCTGGCCACTCACTTGGGCTCCAATCATAGTGTAGCCCCTTGCCTTCCCAGGGCCTTTTACTTTTGTGTTACAAGTCATTCTAATAATCCAGGCTGGTGGTGCTACATGCCTGTAATCCCAGCACTCAGGAGGCTGATGCAGGAGGAGTGCTGCAAGTTCGAGACCAGCCTGGGCTACAAAGTGAGCTCAAGGCCAGCCTGAAATGCATACCAAGACCCTGCCTCAAAAAGACTTAAAAAAAAAAAAAAAAAGGCCAGGCTATGAGGTTATCTTAACCCATAATACATTAGAAACCACAAATCAGATCCAAGATTATGGTTCTTATAGCAAAAGGCACATTGTGCCCGCTGAAAAATGAGAAAACTAAAGAAGCAAAGTGCTTAGTTTTGGACTACTTGGTATGCAACAAAGAGCCCTTCCTTATACCGGTACACTAACACCCATAACTGACTTGACAAAATTAGACTTCTTTGTGGCTGATACCCTGTTTACAAAAGCACAGAAGTGGCACTTAAAAGATTAGTAAAGTACTTCTGAGTGTAAGAAACAAAAGAGAAAGGGGGAAGAGGAGTAGGAAGAAATGAAGGAAGGGGAACAGGGCGTGGTGGTGCACGCCTGTAATCCCAGCACTTGGGAGCCTGAAGCAGAAGGATAACTGCAAATTTGAGGCCAGGCTGGGCTACAAAGTGAGTGCAAGGCCAGGCTGAACTGCATAGTGAGACCCTGTCTTAAAAAAAAAAAAAGGAGGAGGAAGAGGGAGGAAAAGAAAAAGCACAGAAATAGCTAATACATTTGTGGAAGATTTTTATCCAAAACAGCCTTTTAAACTTATATTTAAATAACCGTTGAGGTATTTGTGTGTTTTTCTCTAAGCTTATGGTCTCTGAGAAATTTTATAATCTTCTTACAATTTGTCAGAAATATTACACAAAAAATTTTAAATAAAGTGATCATTCCTATACCAAGTATATTCAGAGCCAATCAACCACAAGAAGTCTGGTCTCTGAAATCTCAAAAATGTAGTATTCCAAGAAAAAAAATTGATTTTGGATTCCAATTTTCTCATCACAGGTTTTAGTCAACAAACTATAAGCCCCACTATTTGCAGTGTCTACACAATAATACTAGGGCAGAGAACAGAGAGGGTCAGTTATGTTTGGTGTGTTGCATAGTACCAGGTCCCCATAAAAAGTACAACCCATAATAAATGTGGAAATTAGTATCAGACAGTGTTGGTATCCAGGACTATCCCACCAGGTTGTTTTAGTCATTTCCCAACAGTGAGCAAAAGATCCAGAGTTACGATCCAAGCAACTAAAATTGATCCAAACAGCCTGTTGCTAAACATAGGTGCAAGTCTCTCGGTCCTTGTTTTCAATCCTGGCCTGCTTTCGTCACACCTCAGTGAAGGGAGTCACTGGTGAGGAGGTAATATGCTATTTTTGACAACCCTTAGGCTGTAACTACTTGCTAGATCCTTCTTGCATATCTCTGTCTTCCTGAGAAACCACTTCAAAGATACCACCACGTTTTACAGCAGCCATTGATATTTTCCTACTAATCTGTCCAGAACTCCGTAATGTTTGTATTGTTCCTATGCTATTTCGTAAATGGATGTATGTTTATTATTATGTGTTTCCTACAAAAATAAAAAATAAAAATAAAATCGATCCAGTATAACACTTTCATAGTTATGATTAGCACTGCTCTGGTATTCTAGCCCACCCCCACCATCTAGTGTCACCTTCTTGAAAGCTGCATGTATCTTCTCCCATCCAACAGCAGTAAAACCATCATGGCACTCACAGTTAATATACAGACTATTTTATCCTGTTCTTTATCAACAGTTGTAAAACCAGGCCAGGTGTGGGGCGCACGTGCGTAACCCCAGTACTCAGGAGGGTAAGACAAGAGGACTGCTAATTCAACCAGCCTGGGCTACATAGGAGACCCTGTTTCCAGTCTCTCTCCACAAACTCTGTCCCCCAAAAGCTGTGCTGTATGACTTTTTCAAAATAAAAATTCCAATAAAAATACATTTTGTCTAAAATTTCAAAAGTCTGCATACCCTTTGATCTAGCAATTCCAGTCCTAAGACTGAACCTTGAAGTCTCACGTAAGGGAACATACACAAGGGTATTTCCCACAACACTGTTTATATTACCAAAAGAATCAGGAAAAAAAACAAAAACAAAAAAAACAAAACCCTGGATATTAGTAAGGAATTGATTGATCAAACTGTGCACATTCACTGAACCAAAAACCAGGAAGCCATTATAAATAAGGCAAATCTATAGTACTGATAAGAAATGATTGCTAAGACAGGCTGTCAAGTGAAAACACCAATTAAACACTATGCTATTGCATATATAGCAAAAAGAAAAAAGGGGGAGGAGGACACATATGAACATACCACAGACTATGTCCAAAGGACAGACTGAAAGCTGGGCATCATGGCTGTGCCTCAGAAAAGGGAGCAGGGGAACAAGAACAAGGCCAAGTACAGGGAGGACTTTTTACTGAGCAGACATTGTGCTCTTTGTGATACTTTTTTAAAAAGTTTAAACCTAGGACGCTGTGCACACTAGTAATCTGTTCCTCATGAGACTGAGGGAGTTCAAGGGCAGCATCGGGAACACAGCAAGACCTTGTCTCAAGAAAGAGAAAAAAGAAGAAAGTAAAAATGAAAAAGAAAAATACATACATTATCGACTAATTGATTTTCACGTGGTGCTAGGGATCAAACCCAGACCCAATGAGTGTTAGGTACATACTTTACTACTGAGCCTCATCCTCAACCCCTAGTTTTTAAAAAACTTAAACCTCATGTGAATTTTCTCAGACAAACACTGTAGGGATGCTCACTGAACTCTCTCTGATAATATTTCTGCCGTGTATAACGGAAGATGTGCAGCTGTCTACCTGGAAGGCACTTACTGCCTGTAGCTTACGAGTGGTTTGTCTTAGTGTCCAGAGAGTCACTACAATTACCAAATTGTGACTTGAGTTTTACCTGAATGCAAATAACTGCAATCTTTTCAGGGAAGCATTTCTTAGCTCCTTAATTTGGTCTAGGTGGCCCACTCCTAACATGGGGTCTTGAAAACACCTATTTCTTGGTACTATTCTTGCAACTCTCCTGCAAGTTTAAAACTCTAGGAAAATTAAGTTAGCCTAAAAACACACACTAGCTATAATGAATTCTTACTAATCGATGGTACTTGTTTTTTCTTAGCATTTAGAAGAATCACTGAAAAACAAATTGGATAGCTCAAACCTGTTTCAATAATCACCCCCAAGAACATTTGGAATACTACACACTAAAACACATACAACTTAAGCCGGGCATGGTGGCGCATGCCTGTAATCCCAGCACTTGGGAGGCTGAGGCAGGAGGATCATTGCAAGTTCGAGACCAGCCTGGGTTACAAAGTGAGCTCACACCTGGCCTGAACTGCACAGTGAGGCCCTGTCTCAAAAAGACAAAATAAATAAATAAAGAAAGAAAGAAAGAAATAAAACACATACAATTTAAACACCCTCCCATGGTTAAAAAACATAGTCTGTTTTTAAAAATGTGTTTTCTTATAAAACTCCCCTATAGAGATCAACGGCACTTAAATTCATTTCACTGATTTTAGAGCTGAAATAGTCTCCCTAAAATTAATCAGAAGGTTTAGAGAAGAATTATTTTTAACATA